TCCAATTCCACAGAGAGGAGGCATTTCTGGAGTCCACCAAAGCCCTGTCACCCTGGGCCACCTGTGCTGGCCGGGAGAATCAGCTTCCTGGACTCTGGGGCTATGCAGCACTCCATGGCTCCTCCTGGCACTTCCTCCAGCCACAGAAGCAGGCATGTGGGCCTTGGGCAGTGGACACCAGCACAGAATCCAAGAGCTGGCATTCAGGGGTCACCAACCACGCCGTAAATGCTGGGTCCGAAGAGCTGGGACCGCCAGCCCCACCAGCAATGGAGACATTGCAATGCAGACAACTCCAAATCCTTAATAGCTTCTCCAAAGCCCTTTTGCTACAGTGAGCCAACCCTCTGACACTGGACCCTGAGGAGCCTAGGGCTGTGACTCTGCAGAGGGGTCCCGGGAGTCCCTCCATGTTCAGCCTCACACAGCTCTTGCTTCATCATTCCATACTCACCCCTCCCTCCAGAGTCTCCACGGAGGCTCTGCCACCCCCCAGGGCGCTGCTGGCACGCCCTGCCCAGGACCTAGGTGGCGCAGCGTGACCCAGAGGGAGCTGCATCTCTGTCCGCAGCACCGTTTTCCTGCCCGCTGATCCTCTGCTGCTAATCAAACCCAGTCCAGAAAGAAACTACTGCCCGCTTCTTGTTCTGGTATGAAATGTGCAGAGCATAGACCATATCATTAACATAAAACTTCCAGAAATAAGGCCACTTTCCAGACAGACTGTATTAATTGTATCAAGCCTCACAGCTAGGGTGGTCTAATCCACGGCATCCCATTGGACAGCTCTGGCTATTAAACCAACACAAAATGAACACTGGGATATAATTGAAGGAGGAGAACACGATAGATTCTACTGTTAAACCCTACTATTTACTTACAGGTATTCTTTTATCTTTATTGTCCCTTTAACCCATGCCAAGAATCCCCAGACTAGTTAAATAACACAGCAAGCACAATTTCAGTAGAAAAGTAAATTGAATTTAACTTTACAAGATTGCCCTGTGATTTCAGCATATACTAATGACTGCAACTGACTCCCTCTATTAAAGGCAAACACTTCTACTTCCCCAGGCCTGGATCCTGTGTGTTCTTGTGTGAGACCTTGAACTTAACCACGTGCACGTATTAGTCACTGCAGCTGAGGACTGCTTGAAGCTCTTCAATATGCAACGAAGTGCCTCAGTCTCCCTTCTACCATGACCTGCGCCAGGCAAGGGGCTCACTGTCTTTAATCCTGGAACCAGGAAGCAGCTCAAAGGAAGACACTCCCCCAGTGCCAGACATGTACTGTGGCATGTCATGACACCCATCTAGCTCACGTGTGAATCATAACTTCCCTGAGGCACTATTCTTAGCACCTGGCCTGTATGACCTCATGCAATCCTCAGAATGACCTTTGCAGCATATTCGATCATCCCCCCATTTTACAGATGAGAAAACTGAGAGCGGGAAATGATTTGTCCCCAAAGCCACTCAGTTACATGCTTCACCCCCAGCCATCTGTCACACACGGATGACCCCTTCCCAGTCATGGAGGCCTCAAAACATGTATTGGCAGGGGCAAGGGCGGGGCCCAGTGGTTCTCAGTTGTCTTCTGTATACCCCAGCCCTGACCCAGAATCCTCACCAATCCCATGCCCAATCCATCCTGGCAGCTGTTCACTGATCTGCTTCAGAGAGCGATAATGTAAGGAGCCTCGACCATTTTAAAAGTTTACATATAAGCCTGACTTGGCAGTGCATGCCTGTAATCCCAGGGCTCTGGGAGGCTGAGGCAGGAGAATTGCAAGTCTGAGCCCAGCTTGGGAAACTTAGCAACTTAGACAGATCTTGTCTCAAGCTCAAATTAAAAAAAAAAAAAAAACAGGGCTGGAGATGTAGCTCAGTGCAAAGGATCTGGGTTGAATCCCCAATACCACAAGACAGATAGAGACAGACAGACATGTTACACACACACACACGTACATATATGATATTTTTCACTTCCAGAAGTGGACGCTGAGGCTCCAAGACAACCAGTGACATGTTCAGGGCCACTAGCTGCATACACCAAGGCCAGGACCTCGACCCAGGGTCAAGATCCACGGCTACCTGGGCAGATTCTCCAGGGGGAACTTTTCAAGGAAGATGTTTTGGTCCCAGGATGGCCTGGAGTCAGAGCCCACAAGATAGCAGCAGAGTCCCAAAGAAGAAGGTCCCATGTTCCTCCTCCCCACGGTGACCTGATCCGAGGGAGGCCTGGGTGGGCACCCCGGGGCACAGGGCTGTTAGGGACACCAGGACGTACACGCATACACACATACCTGCGCGGGTTTTCTCTCCCATAAAATCACACCCTCCGTAAATGACTTCGAGCGCTTCGCCGGCATGCAATTAACCTGTGCGAAACACGTTTACACTGGGGTTTTCCATATTAATTTGAAGAGGTGGGTTCAATGCTTCCTGATCGGAAAAGGGACGAAGCAAAGCAAGGGCAGCGGCCCTTTCGCGTCCCTACGGTGGACTGCCTCTTCCTAACGGGTTACTGGGAATTTAATGACTCCATTCCAGCTACTAATTAAACAGGCACTAAAAACACTTAAGCCAACAGCCCAGTGCCAGGGACAGAAACCACAACGGGACACAAACCACTGGAACAGGATATTTTCAGGTACTGAAACTGAACAAAAACATGATGGCCCAGCCTGGTACCAGCTGATGCACAGGGATGGGATGCAGAAGAATGTGGATGTGAAGGGGGTGTCGGGAAGGTCAGAGGCAAGAGCAGGTCCCGTAGGAGGGGCTCTGGAGAGGTCCCTTGGCCCAGCCCCCAGCAGGCCCCACCCCAGGAAGTGGGCATGGCCCTTCCTCACTCCCCCCAGGCACTGTGGTCACGATGCTCAGGGCCTTGCAGACCTGGTGGCCCCCAAGCCCTAAAACCAAAACAGTCTCAAAGCCAGAGGTCCAGGCAACGCTGAGACGCAGCGGGTGCTGAATGAGGGCCACTTCCTCTCCGCCTGCTCCTCACTCCCTGCCATTTCCCCACTCCAAACGGGTCCCCGTGCCCTCTCCTGCCCCACCAGACTGCCAGCTGCAGGCCGGCCAGGACCCATATGGCCGCCTCCACCTGACTTCCCGTGGGACCTACAAACCAGGCGCGCAGAGAACAGCTTCAGGCTGAAGAACGCGAGAGGGAAGAGCATGCCCTTCGGGACTCGGCGTGTCAGGGGCTCGTCCGTGAAGTAGGGAGAGGAAGGCTGAGGGCTGCCGTGCGGATTACGTTCAAGGATGCGGTCATCGGAAGGGACAAGGAAGAGCGTGGGAGGACAGACTGACGGCCACAGGCAGAGGTAGTGTGGCTGGCCCGGTGGGGAGAGACAGCTCCTCGACAGGCAGCACAGCAAGGACAGATCCTACTTCTGCCCTGGCCCCAGCCACTCTGCTGCCCCAGCCTTCACCCCACCCCCTTCTGCAGAATGGGCATAAGAACAGCTCCTGCCTGGCAGGACACGCAGCTGCCAGAAGGCCCAACCCATGGAGGAGGCGTGCGGTCCCCTGGCCAACTCTGCTTTGGCAGCTTGTAAGGAGGGCCAGAGCCAGCAGAGGGTTAAGCAAACCCCGGCAGTGCACGGCTGGAGAGGTGATCATGTTTCTACACGCAGAACTTGACCAAGTCCAGTCATAAACACTTAGGCTGATCTTTGATAGCGTGGCCCCCGAGTGGCCGCAGGGCTGCAGCACTAATTACAGGAAGCCATGAGGGCAGGGCAGCCACTCAGATGGGACAGGCAGCCCCCACTCAGCAAGAGGGGTCTCTCACCGACTCAGAACACATCCACGGAGCCGGGAAGCGGGCCCTGGCCACACTGGAGCGCCAGCAGCCCGGAGAGGAAGCCGGCCTCTTTGCAAGTGGCTCCAACTCCTTCCAGGGTGGTTATAGCCTCTGCCTTGTGTGTTAAAGGCACAAGCCCAGGAAGAACCCAGAGCTCCCCGCTGACAGCTAGATCCTATAATGTCACCACCTGTCACAGCAGGGGCATTCTGAAGGCTGCACGCCACCCCGCCAGCAGGCAGGCTAAGGGAACTCATGCCCCCCGGAACAAGAGCTACCTGTGGCCTTCCTGTAGCTCCACGAGAGGTTGTCCTTTGGGACAGCCTCAACGAAAAGCAAAACCTACCCAATAAAAATAGTTTCCCTTTTACAAGTTGAGCCAAGAGAAAGGCTGCAACGTGCCTGGTGACAAAGCAGAGACGAGTTGACTCTGCCCCCGCACTGCAGCCGCCCTCTCCCTACCCGGCCCCTGCCACGAAACCGGGCGACAGCCACTGGCCACGTGAGCCTGTGTCAGCATCCTGGCTCGGGCGGCCACAAGGCCGCCAGGAGGTCACAGCAGGCTGGGCTCGGTGTGGGCACACAGTGGGGAGGTGGTGGAGGTGTGCAGGCCTGGGGTCTCGGCCCCTTTCCCCCACACACACCCCTAGTGTTTCACGCCCGCCCCGTGGCCGCAGCTTTTTAAAAATCTCCTTTGCACTGACTTTTTTTTTTCTCCTCTAAGTTAATGGGCAACACATTGTCCCAGAGAGAAACTCAGCATTTTGGCCGGCTCTGGCGATGTACGCAGACAACCGAGGAATCCTCTCCTGGCCTTGTCTGGAAGGGAGGGGGCAGGGGCGGGGGCAAGGGCAGAAGAAAACCTCAGATGTTAAGCGTTATCCAATTAAGCTTTAGCTAAACAGCCCAAAGAGATGAAATGCGGAGGCCGGGCAGTGCATTCTGGGACTGAGACTTTCAGAATGGTGGGGGCACAAGGAACTGGGGAGCCTGCTGACCCAAGGGGACCAGGCACAGGGCAACAGTTCTGTTCACATCCTTCACCACTTCCCCTGCACCCCAAAAATGCCTCTAGGGCAAAGGCTGCATTGTCTCCATGGGCCCCCACCTTGGGTCCCCAGCTGTGCCCCAGGCCATGCCCCCCATCCCGGGAGCCCGACCCCCCCACCGCGGCGGCGTCTGTTACCTGACAACTGACACTGGCATCCAAAGGGAACCTCCGTCTGACCCTCACCCTGAGTCCCGTCGCCCGACACCGGGCGTGCGCTGCAGCAGGGCAGCGGGAAGCAGGGCGGGAGTGTGCCCAGGGCCCGCAGAGGTGAAGTGATCACGGATGTGTGAGGGAGGGAGGAGGAGGCAGCTATAGGGGCCATCGCTGGCAGCTGGGCAGGCCTGCACGGCCCTAGAGAAAAAACAATAGAAAAGACTGGTCAGTCGGGCCCTGGGCTGCACAAGGGACGTGGGGCGCAGGAAGGACCCAGGGTGCAGGGCTGCAGGCCAGCCTTCAAGGCAGGAGGAGGGCTGCTGGAGGCCCAGGGGTGCCCAGCCCTACAAGGAGGGTGACCGGGGTTCAGGCAGGGGAGAAGGGGTCAGAGAAGTGATCAGGGGCACTGGGGAGAGTCCTGTGTCCACAGCTGCCAGGCAGGACTGTCTGGGGGCTGAGCTGGGGACCCTACCTCTGGAGGCCTCATGCAGGGGGCTGTGCACACAGGGGCTGTCAGGGCCCTGCTCCCAGGAAAGACCCCCTCCCAGCCCCAGGAAGGGTCTTCAGGAGAGAGATGCAGCGGGATCCAGTTGAGGATCTAGTCCCAAAAATCTGGTCCACCCCTTCCTGGAACAGCTGGGACGCTCAGAGACACCACTATCTGCTATACAAAGATGGGCTCTTTGGACAAATGGGCCTCCAGGGTGCGGGCACCGATCCCAGCCTCCTGTCGGGCTGATGACCAGCCAGGGCTTCCTCCAGCCCCCAGCTGGCAGTACCCAAGCCCCCGGTAACTCTTGGAAGGCCTCGACACGCTCCTCTCTCCACCGCCTGGAGGAAGAAACTGGGCACTGCCCAGACCCTTCCGAATGTCTCAGCCCGGGCTGTGAGTCCCCGCTCCCCCACGCGACAGCAACAACAGGGACCAGCGCCAGGCCAGGGCCCCACGGCTCGCCTGGGCTGCGGGCAAGGCCTGCGTTTGATTTGGCCGTTTATCTTACATGGCTAAGAGACCACCAGGGCAAAACATTTGTGTGAAGCCCTTGCCAAAACCACAAGTGAAGAAGCCCAAATTCCCTGGGTAAATAATTGAGCAGGGAAGCATCAGAGAGACAAAAAGAAAACATCAACAAGATGATGGGCAGCTGAGCCCGGCAGGCTCCGCCGGGGAGGCCTCGGCCCTCACCTCCTGACACAGGTCTGCACCAGTAGGGATCTGCCCACTCCACAACACCGTGCGCCTTTCCCCACCCAAGGAGAGCCACAGGGCCTTGCCCGCCCACTCTGCGCCAGGAGCTGTCAGTCTTCCATAGCTGAGCTTCCTAACACTCCCTCGGGGGCAGGCGCTTAGGACACCCCGTGCTCGGATCAGGAACCTGAGGCCCAGGCTGCAGCAGACCGCAGACCCATTAAAACTCACTACCTGCCTCCAAATCCAGGCCCATTTTTCCATACTCCTGCTTCTCCAAAATGTGAGTCCAGGAAGAGAGACACGAGGGCATTTGAAAAGACTCCCAGTTGGAGTTTGGGGGCTGTCGGTGTACTGCCGAGATGCCCAACAAAGTGAGCCCCAACCCCGCTCAGGCCGCTCTGTGCCAATGGAGACTTTATACTCGGCCAGGACAGGGATCCAAGTCTTTCCCAGCTGACCACAGCCCCAGAGCATCCCCTGAGCAGCCTCAGCCCAGACCTAGTGTGGCCCCAAAAAAGGTCAGCATCTGAGGCCACCGCGTCACTGGCCTCCTCTCGTAAGCCTGCTCTGACCAGTCCTTACTGACCAGCCCTGGCACTCGGCACTGTGCACTCCTGGCCTCTACGTGGTCCTCCCTTCAGATCACAGAGGGCTCCAGATCCACACGGTTTTGTGCTGAGTACACCACAACTCCTTTGCTCAGGGAAGACTATCCTCATTCCTCGGGGGCAAGTTGAGGCTCAAGAGCACCAAGATGTGACCCCAGGTGTGTCTCCAAAGACTGGCTATGTTCTGCCTCCCTCAGTAGCTACTGTTGGGTGGAAGGACCAGGCATCTCAGGGTCCTGAGAGGAAGGGCCACACGCCCCAGGTAAGGAAGCCTGAGTGTCCTTGCCTCAGCACAGCCAATGGTGGCTGCAAAAGGCCAAGTCTGGACTCTGGCTCCTGGCACCTGGGCAAAGCCACACCCAGACTCCCAGCTCTATGCATCACGGCCATGAAGCCAGCAGGAGCCATTCGTGGCCTGGCAGTGGATGCCCCACGTACGAAGGGAGCTGGCTCTGCCCCTGGTGGCTGGAAGGGCAGGGACCGGCCTTCCACCAGTCTTCTCCTCGGAAGGGCAACAATGGGGCCAACCAAGCATTCGTGAAGACGAGTCCCACGCCACACAGTGAGTGATGTGCTGCTGCAACCCTGCAGCCTCTGACAGGAACCTGCAGACCAAGAGGACCCCCTGGTCCAGGGACTGATTCCAAGCAGGCAGGGGAGGGGCTGCATGCAGAGGTCTCCTCTGGGGTCAGCTACACTGGAGCTCTGCCCACAGGGAGGCTCCACAAACCCTCTTGCACAGCTACTGCAACAGCCAAGAGTGTCCAGAGAAGCCATCCAGGATCCGATTCCACAGACAGGAAACATCTAGAACAGGCAAATCCACAGAGACAGACACCGGAGGTTGCCAGGGCCTAGGGCAGCAAAAAGCAAGGGCCCAGGAGTACAGGCTGCTTTGGGGGCTGATAAATCAGAATCAGATAGTGCTGATGGCCGCATAACATTGTGAACAAATGCAAAACCACAGATGATATGATGTAAAGGGACTTTTTTTTTTTTTGGTGCTACCAGGGATCGAACTCAGGACCTTGTACTTTCCAGGCAGGCGCTTGTGCCACTGAGCTATATCCCCAGCCCTTAAAGGGATATTTACATCATGCATATCTTAATTAAAAAACAAACATCAAGAGCCAGGCACCGTAGGTAGTTCACACCTGTAATCCCAGCACTCTGGGAGGCTGAAGCAGGTGGACTGCAAATTCAAACCCAGCCTGAGCAATTTATTGACTTAGTGAGAGTTTTTGTTTCAATCCCCTAGCACCACAATAGAGAGAGAGAGAGATAGACAGATAGAATAAAAGTGAGGGCTTTGTCTCTGGGCCACAGTACCCCTCCCAGGCTACCTCCCAGCTGCACCCTTCACCAGGAGGGTGTATTTGCCTTGAAAAGTGCAGCCAGCAGTCTGGCATGCAGGTGAGGGCCACCCGAGCCCCGCAGGTAGGCTGCACACCCAGACATGCACAGAGGGACTGGTGCCATGGAGCCGGGGGGAGTGGGGACAGACAGACGTGAGGGGGGCTGCGTACAAATCCCTCCGATGCCATTTCCTAAAGCAATCACCTCCTCAGAGCCTCAGTCCCCTCACTTCTGAAGGGCCAGGAATACCCCTCACCAGAACCAAGCGCCTAGTAAGCCCAGTTGCCACCCTTCACTTATTCTCAGTTCTGGAACTTTTCCTACAGGCCACAGGTCCTTCACAGCATGGTCACTGCCTGGCAGATGGGGCGCTCTCTAACAAAAGCTTTTTCGGCTGGTGGAGCGCTTGCCTGGCATGCGTGGGGCCCAGGATTCCAACCCCAGCCCCACACACAAGTGAAAATCAGAAATGCTTTCTGTCGAGGTCAACACGGGTGCCCCTCTAGGAGCTTTGCCCCTTTTCCGTATGAGTGTATGTGTGCGGGTCGTGACAGGTGTATCCGTTGTGGGGAACGCACACATATTCACGTAGCATCTTGGTCTACAGAAACTGCTCTGCAGCTAGGTTCGTTGCAGAGGGACAAAGACACCCTCCCAGCTGTAAGTGAAACCCTGGCTGGCTTGATTTCTTACCACAAAGTCCATTAGTTAGGGAAAAAGAAATAAACAACTGGTACCCGTATATGGCATGTAAACCCAGAGCCTCTTTGTGGGGTAGGTCTGATGATTCCCCACTCTCCTCCTGTCTGAAACTGAGTCTCAGACAGGCTGGAGCAGGTGCCCAAGCCAAGAGGGCTATGAGGTCAGAATCTCTCCTCTCTTATTATTTTACCTCTTTTAAAAGGAGTGCCCAGGGTCTGGGGACTTAGCTCAGCGGCACAGCGCCTGCCAAGCAAGCGCAAGGTTGTGAGTTCAATTCCCGATACCGGAGAAAAACCAAAAAAAAACCAAAAGGAGTGCCCAAAGAAAGTCTCCAAATAAGGCCCCTCACATGCGTCTGGAGCACCGAAACACGGACACGCTCACTGTCACCGCCTCCGTGGGGGCGCAGCTTTTGCACGGGGTCCGCCGCCCACCTCCCTTCCCGGCCCTGACAGATGCTCGGCTCTGGCCCGCGCATGCGCACTGCCCGGCGACACGCCCACCGCCCCGCGCGGGGACAGCACGCCCTGCCCGTCGCCGCGTCCCAGCTGGGAGGGCTGCAGATTCTGCGTTCCCAGCCAGAGAGGTGGCCCGGAATACACTGTGCGGGAGAGCTCTATTTTTCTCCCTACTGGTGCCTTTCAACGGATACATTTTTTTAAGGCGAGAACTCCTACTGATAGTGCAGAAATGAGTCATAGATCAAGGCAGGAGACAGACGGGGAGCCAGCGCGTGTGAGCGAGGGACACTGGCAGGGGAACCTGACAGTCCCCGCGCCCCCTCCCCCCATGCCAAGACATTAATTCTCACAAGTCGGAGAAAATTACTATGCATGAATGCAAAAAGCATGATCAGGAGTAATTAACATGGCTTCATATGCAAATTTTATTAATGCAGAAGTACAAAGTCATTATGCAAATGAAACTTACGTCAACTCTCTTGACAAATATTCATCTCTGAGGCTCAAGTTTCTCCCTTTTTTATTTATTTAATTTTCTCTCCCGTCCCTCCCCCTTTTTTTCCCTGAGTTTTTCTTTGGGGGGAGGGGCAGGGGGCAGGAAGGACGGAGCGAAAGAGGTGGTGCTGGCGGCCTCTGAGGTGACAGCAAGGCACAAGGACTGTTTGACAAGTTTGCAAAGTTGTTTTTCAACCAGAGAAATTTATTCTTGCATTGTTGATTTTTTTTTTTCCTGGGGGTGGGGGGCGTTGTTGGCAGGTACAAGTCAGCTCGTAGGAGAAGGGGAAAAAATTTAAAAAAATAAAAAGCTCTGGGCAGCGGCAGCCAATCAAAACGCCAGAGCCTGTAATGAGGGCGATTGATGGCTGTTTGGCTTTTACT